TTTCCATGTAGAAAAGTATTTTTTAAACTTATTTTTCCTGATTTCTTCAAATGTATAAGAATAAAAGTGTAATTTTAAAATTACGAAAATTGAAATTCCAAATACATTAGGTAAATACATACCTTTTTTATGCATAACTCTCAATAATAATGATTATATTTTATATATTTTGAAAACCATTTTTTTCAATAATACCTTACAGTATAACATTACTTCACATCACCAAAAATCTTGAATGGGTCAAATTCATTAATCAAGCATAATAGCTCATTTCAAGTGAGTCCTAAAGGCTTCAATATTCTATCCTCTGTAGCAGCATAGAATCATTCCAATTTAATTAGGTAAGCCAATGTATTTGCAAAACAATTCAAAATGCAATTTAATTTGGGGGTTTAGTAAACATCTAGGGACTCATTCATTATGACCTCCGCATTGAGTTTACTTTGTAAAGCAGCATAAAACTAATCATTCAGAACTATAAACTCTAGGACCTTTTTTTTAATCCATAGGCCTTACACATTATATGTGCCTTTTATGTTTACATTGGCTCTTTTTGTTTCACTTACTTTTGAAACTACAGTTTGAGGGGATCAGTAAATGACAGCAGCAATGGCCAGGAGTGACTGACAAGCCCCTCCCCAATGACTCTGTGGAAGGAGGTGGAGAAGATGGCAGCAAGCCTGAAGCACAGCTGTCAGCATGTCCCAGCATCACTAATCTGTAACCCACCTGCTGACCAGGTGCTGGGATTTTCCTCAGGACAAACAACCATCATGTGACTTGAATCAAACTATTTCAAGTATGTGTTGTTTTAAACCAGGGGAGGGTGAAGGAACCCAGCCCACCCCAAATATCTAATGCACTAAACTCATTTTGAGACAGATGTTTATGTAAACTCCCAGATGGAGATGCCAGCTCCTAGTGAATTAACCTATGATGCCACCTAGGCCCTCATATTGATTAGTCATTATTTTTATCTGATGTAATGAGAATATGGGTCCAGAGGCCAAGCGCTTTCAAACCCTGAGAAAATTCAAGTGTCCTCTTGTTTTCAAATGCTTTCCTAACTACTACTAGTGTAAGAACATTGTGAAAGAAGCGTTGTTTTTAAATGACAACTAAAATAAACATTTGAAATCAGCTCATGTCTCTGAACCAGACGACAAAGTAAGAACAATAATCCAGGAAGGAGAACTTAGAATTTAGAAACAAAATGACTTGATCATGCTATTAGACAGTTAATAAATACAAGTATAGATTATAATACACTACCCTGGGTGAATGGACATGTTTGATTTCTTTGTTACTATTTATTAAATGTTGAGGTAGATGAAAACTATTTTTTTTCAGAAACAAAGAGCTGGCTTAAGAGGAATAGAATGAAGGCTGAGAAGCTAACGTGTCCTACTTGACCCAACAACAATGATTAATGACAAGTAAGTTTACAGAACAGTCTCACACTGCCTTATGAACACAATGCTATATAGCCTTAGATGTTATGTTTATGACCTGAAGCTCTGGATGTCCCCCCTAAAGTTTTGCAAGTCAGCTTTGGAAACATCGCCTACTTTGCATACCAATAACAGTTATTCCCCTAGAAAAGTTGGAGGGCAACTTAATGCCATCAAGGAAAGATGGTTTAAAATTTTTGCTTTACTTCCAAACATTATTTGCTTGGTTAGGCGGTAGCAAACATAATCTAGGATACAGACTGTGCCTAATGGTCAAATAGCATTGTACCGTCACATAGCATCACTATCAGGTCTATCAGCAATTAAATATTCATTACCTACAGTCGTCCACATAAAGCTGATGCCTCTATTGCTACAGACTTCATATTTCCGCATACACACAGTGGAGTGTGCGTGCGTGTGTGTGTGTGTGTGTGTGTGTGTGTGTGTGTGTTTACAGAAATGCCTTGCTCACCTAAATTGGTCCTCTGAAGCAGCCTTGTCTACTTAGAGTTAAGAGCACAAATAGATGCCACTAGACTGTAAGTTACATAAGTTCCAGGACTTTTGTCTTATTGTCCATTGCTGTATTTCTAGAACCCAGAATAGAGTCTGGCATGTGGTAGGAAATTGTTGTTTGTTAAATAAATGAATGTTACACTGCCTATGTACAAAAGGTCATGCTATTTATTCATAGGAGAGTGCCCTAGGCCCAAATCTGGAGACTGCTTGTCTTATGCAAGATTCTAGTAAGCTTAGTTTTCTGGTTTCCCAGGCCACCAAAAATAAAAGGCAACAAATTACAGGGGCATGGGGGCATACTGCTAGGAGCATACTCAACATAATGAAAAATGAAAGCTGACATTCAATATCCAGAGAGAGGCAGAAAAACTATAAAACTTAGCTACAAGTCGTCAAAAAAAAATTATGCGTGTGGGTGTGTGGGTGTGTGTGTGTGTGTGTGTGTGGGTGTGTGTGTGTGTGTGTGTGTGTGTGTATCTCAAACAAATATATATGTTTGCTTTGGTATGTTTCTGAACATTATATAAATGGAATCATGTTGTAGGAAGTCTTCTGAGACTGACTGGCTTTTATCATTCAAAATTATTTTTGAGATTCATCTATATTGATGTGTCTGGTTTGCTCATTTCACTACATGTAAACACACAACAATTTAGCCATTCTAATATCAAGACACATTTAACTGTTTCCAATTCTTCGCTTTACAACCAATGTTTCGATGAACATTCCTATATCTGCATGCTGCATAAATATGCTGCAAGAAGTTTGCTAAGGTTTCTACCTACACATGGAATAGCTGGATTACAGGGAGTGCGCATTGTCAGCTTTCCTAGGTACTACCAGATTGATTTTCTAAAAGCTTGTACCACTTTACATTATACCAGCACTTGAGAAGTCCCATAATTCCACATTCTGTGTCTATCCAATTTTTAATTTACAAATCTTGTGGGCATGGCATAGTATCTCACTGTGTTTTAAGTTTTATTTCCAAGGTTATTAATGATGTGAAGCATCATTTTTTATATACATATTAACCATTTTTCTTTCACGTTTGTGACATGCCTGTATACCTTTTGGGCATTTTTTATTGAGTATCTAAATTCACTTTGATTCATAGGAGTTCTTTAATATACTGCATATTAATCCTTGGTCATTTATATTGTTTTTACATATGGTGTGGCCTTTCTTTTCATTTTTAAAGGCAGCATTTACAAACAAAAGTTGTTAGCTTCTGTAAAGTACAATTTTTCATATACATACATTCATAGTATGCAATGCTTATGTCAAAGCATTATTGACACATTAACATTATTTATCTAAAGAAAACATTATTTATCTAAAGTCATTAGATAATTTTTTTCTTTGAAGTATTTTAGAGATTTGCCTTTTACATTTAAACCATTGACCCATCTAGAGTTGATTTTTGTGGATGTATGTGATATGAGAGAGATTTCATAGGATGTTTTAAATAAACTTTTATTTTAGGATAGTTTTAAAGAAGGCTGCAAAGATAATACGAAGTTCTTATATACCCCATACCCAGTTTCCTCTATTGTTAAAATCTTTAATTTGTGTACTTGTGTTACAACAAATGAACCAATACTGATATTTATTATTACTGGTAACTAAAGTCCATATTTGATTTAGACTTATTTAGGTTTTATCCAGTATCCTTTTTCTGTGCCAGAATCCCACCCAGGATGTCACATTACATTTAGTCTGATGTCTCCTTAGGCAACTCTAGCTTGTGACAGTTTCTCAAACCTTCCTTGCTTCTGATGAACTTGACAGTTTTGAGAGATAATAAGTCAAATATCTGGTAGAAAGTCTCTCAATTTGGATTGGTGCAATATTTTTCTCAAGTTTAGACTGGGGCTGTGGGTTTTGGGGAGAAAAATGATAGGGGTAAAGTGCCATTCTCATCACATCATATGAAGAATACACACTATTAATATGACTTACCACTGATGATAGCTTTGATCTCCTGGCTGAGGTAGCATTTGTCAGCTTTCTCCAGGGTACAGTTACTCTTTTTTCCTCCTTTGCATACTGTACTCATTGGAAGAAATACACTATGTGCAGCCCACACTGAAGGGGTGGGAGTTAGACTCAACATCCCCATTTAATGGAGAAGTGGCTACATCAATTATGTGGAATTCTTCTGTATGGGAGATGTGTCTATTCTCACCCATTTATGTACTTATTCAATATTTATATCAGTATGAATTCATCAACATTTTTTTATACTTTGGGTGATCTTATCCTACATTGTTATTTCTTTTCCTCAAATTATTTCGTATTTAGGGGATTCAGTTAGCTGTAATTTGGCATGTATCATTAATTTTTTAAACTTCTCTGTCATTATCACTTCAGATACTTTTTTTGCCTTGTTTCCTCTTTCTTTTCTTTCTGGTATTCCAATCATTCTTATGTTATAGCTTTTAATATTGTCTTATAATTCTTGAGGTTTCTGTTTTTCGGTGAGGGGTAGGGGGTGATTCCTCATTATTTTCTCTTCTTATATTTCCATTTGGGAAATTTCTATTAATCTGTCTTCAAGTTTATGTATTCTTTCCTTGGCTGTATCTTGCATTTCCCTTTGATTCTTCTTTCTAGTTTCCACCTCTTGGCTTATATTATCCATCTGTTATTACAGGGTGTGAAAGAGGAGAGTTCTATAATCTTCTGATTAAGTCTCAATCTTTTAGTTGGCTTGTGTCTCAGGCCTGTGACCTTCACAAGTGCTTGTACCCCTCCTCCAGTGCTACAGCTTGTCCCCCCAACCCCCTAGTGCCTGCACTGGCTGCAGTATTCTCAATCCATTTCTTTGAAACATTGTTCCTTGTTGACTATGTTTTCTTCTTTTCCTCATAGGTGATACAGGGAAGCTGGTGGTGGTAGGATGGGGAGGAATTCTTTCCTCCATCTGAGATAAATTCTCAGAATTGTGTTCTGGCAAAGTCCTACCTGGAGAGTAGGCTTTCAGTATGAAGAGGCTCAGACATGTTTGACAATACTCTTTCTTCCCTTCCTCCTGCCATCTTTCTCAGATGATTACTGTGAGAACCTCATGGAGTTCCAGAAGAAAAAGCCCACAACAAAAGTATGCTCCAAACCCCAGACGGCAGCCTTCCAGAAGGTTTTCACTTCCAAGATAGTCTATAGTCAGCCTCCAGCAATTCATCGACTTTACCATTAAGTATGCCTACCAGTTCACAGCTCCCTTGATTTCTGCTCCAGGTCATCAGATCTGAATGACTATATTCCTTTGGATGCATCTGTGTCTCCAGTTTTAAGGTTGTTGTTTGCCCTACAACCTCAGTTTGCTGATCTATCCAAGAAAATTTTTTGATTTTCAGTTTGTCCAGTTCTTTCTTGTTCTAAGGATGGAAATGACAACCTCCAAGCACTTTACATGTCACAGCTGAAACCACAAGCCTACCACAGATTCTTTTTATTGTGCTAAAAAACACATAAAATTTCCCATTCTAATCATTTTTATGTGTGCACTGCAGTAGTGTTAACTATATGCACATTGTTGTACAACAGATTTCTAGAACTTTTTCATCTCGCAAGAATGAAACCTCTATATTCACTGAAGAACTCCCCTTTTCCCTCTTCCTGCAGCGCCTGACAACCATCATTCTACTTTCTATTTCTAAGAGTCTGACTACATTCGGTACCTCATGTAAATGGAATCATGAAGTATTTGTCTTTTTGTAACTGGCTTATTTCACTTATCATAATGTCAACAAGGTTCATCCTTGTTATAACATATCATAGGATTTTCTTCTTTTTTAAGGTTGAATATATATATATATATATATATATATATATATATATCCCATTTTCTTTATTCATTCATTCATTCATCAATGGATATTTAGGTTGCTTTCACCTCTTGACCATTGTGAATAATGCTGCAGTGAACATGGGTATGCTAATCTCTGCAAGATCCTGTTTTCAATTATTTTTGTTATATACCCAGAAGTGGGATTACTGAATATATGGTAATTTAATTTTTAATTGTTTGAGGAACCTTCATACTCTTTTCCACAGCAGCTGCATCATTTTTATGTCCATTTTTTATTAAATTTATTGGGGTGACATTGGTTAGCAAAATTACATAGGTTTCAAGTGTACAATTCTCTAATACATCATCTGTAATACACATACTGCATTGTGTGTTCACCACCCAGAGTCAGTTCTTCTGTCACATATATTTGACCCCTTTTTCCCTCTCCTACCACTCCCCTCCCCCCTTACCTTCTGGTAACCACTAAACTGTTGTCTATGTCTATGAGTTTTTATTGGTTTGTCTTGTTCATTTGTTGCTTTCAGTTTTATATCCCACACATGAAGTCATATGGTTCTTGACTTTTCTGACTTATTTTACTTAGCATGATAATCTGAAGAGCCACCCATGTTGTCACAAATGGCAGTATTTCATCTTTTCTTATGGCCGAATAATATTCCATTGTATATATGTACCACATCGTCTTTATCCTATCACCTATTGAAGGGCACTTTGGTTGTTTCCATGTCTTGGTCACTTTGAATAACATACTGTTTTCCACAGTGGTTGCATCATTTTTACATCCCCACCAACAGTGCACAGAGTTTTTCATTTCCCCCACGTACTCATCAACACTTATGTTCTGTTCTTATGATAATAGCAATAGCAATGATATCTCATTGTGGTTTTGACTTGCATTTCCCCGATGCCTGATGTTGACCATCATTCATATGCTTACTGGCCATTTGTGCATATTCTTTGAGAAATATCTATTTAAATCCTTTGCCCATTCTATTTTATGGGTTTGTTGTTGTTGTTGTTGATTGAAAGGGTTCTTTACATTTTTTTAGTTATTAACCCTTTACCCCTTATATGGTTTGCAAATATTTTCTCCCATTCCATAAAATGCCTTTTCACTTTGTTGATTGTGTTCTTTGCTGTACAGAAGATTTAAAGTTTGTAGTCTCATTTGTCTATTTACTTTTGTTGCCTGTGCTTTTGGTGTCACATTCAAGAAATCATAGTCAAATCCAATGTCATAAAGCCTTCCCCTACATTTTCTTTTATGAGTTTTACAGTTTCATGTCTTATGCTTAGAACTTAATTCATTTTGAGTTTATTTTTATACATGTTGTAACGTAAGAGTCTAACTTCTTTCTTTTGCAAATGAGTATTCAGGTTTGCCAAAACCACTGTCAAACAGACTCTTCTTTCTTCATTGTGTAGCCTTGCACCCTTGTCAAAGACCATTTGATAGTATACATGAGAGTCATTTCTGGGCTCTCTATTCTGTTCCATTGTTCTATATGTCTGTCTTTATGCCAGTGCCATATTGTTTTGATTATTATAACTTTATATAGCTTTGTATGTTTTGAAATCAGGAAGTGTGAGGCCTCCAGCTTTTTTTTCTTTCTCAAGACTGTTTTTTCTATTCAGGGTCCACTGAAATTCCATGTGAATTTGATTTTTTGTTTCTATTTCTTAAAGAAAAAAAAAAAAAGGCCATTAGGATTTGGATAGCAATTGCACTGAATCTGTGGATCACTTTGGGTAATACGTACCTTTTAACAATATTAAGTCTTCCATGCCATGCCAGATAAGAAAAAGCTAAAGGAGTTCATCACCACTAAATGTGTATTACAAGAAATGTTAACAAGACTACTTACGAAGAAGAAAACGAAAAAAAGATATAAAATATGAATAATAAACTGGCAATCGCTGCATATCAATCAACAATTACTTTAAATATAAATGGGTTAAACACCCCAATTAAGAGACATAGGGTGGCTGAATGGATAATAAAAATAATCCTTACATATGTTGCCGACCAGACACTCACTTTAGATCGAAAGTCATCCACAGACTGAAAGTAAAGGGATGAAAAAGATATGTTATGAAAATGGAAACAAACAAAAAAAGCTGGTGTAGCAATACTTACATCAGACAAAATAAGCTTTAAATCAAAGGCTATAAAAAGAGACCAAAAAAGGGCTCACCAATTCCACTCCGTTATTTATCCAGAGAAACACTAATTTGAAAAGACACATGCATTCATATGTTCATTGAAGCATTATTTATAACAGCCAAGATATGGAAGCAGTCTAAGTGTCCATCAATAGAAGAGTGGATAAAGAAGAAGTGGTACATATCTACAATGGAATATTACTCAGACATTAAAAAAGAATAAAATCTTTCCATCTGCAACAACATGGATGGACCTAGAGGATATAATGCTAAGTGAAATAAGTCAGACAGAAAAAGACAAATACCATTTCACTTATAGGTAGAATCTAAAAAACAAAATAAATGAACAAACAAAACAGAAGCACACTCATAGATACAGAAAACAAACTGATGGTTGCCAGATAAGAGGGTGTTGGGGAACTGGGTGAAAAAGGGGAAGGGATTAAGAAGTACAAATAGGTAGTTACAAAATAGTCATGGGGATGTAAAGTAGAACATAGATAATACAGTCAATAATATAGCAATAACTATGTACGTTATCAGATGGGTACTAGATTTATTGGGGGGTGATCATTTCATAAGTTATATAAATGTCTAATCATTATGTTGTACACCTGAAACTAATATAATATTGTATGTCAACTGTAATTAAAAAATAAAAATATTATTTTTTAAAAAGTCTTCCATTCAATCAACATGGGATGTTTTTCAATTTATTTGCATCTTCTTTAATCTCTTTCAGCAATGTTTCATAGTTTTCAATGTACAACTCTTTAACCTCCTTGGCTAAATTTATGCCTAAGTATTTTATTCTTTGCAATGTTTTATAAATGGGCTTGTTTTCTTAATTCCCTTTTTGCACTGTTAATTGTTAGTGTATAAAAACATAACTGATTTTTGAGTGTTGGCTTTGTACTACTTTAAGCAAATGTGAACCTTTTTCCTCTATGCTTGTTTTAAATGTCCTAAATATAAACCATCACTTTGAATAAAAGTGAGAAAAGGTGATAGTGGTGGTGTGACATACCAGATGATAGCTTAGAAAACATTTTCTTTATGTAATCAAATATTTCTTGAATTATCATCACCAAGTGTACTTCCCCAGAGTGCTTTTCCAAGTCAGAAATGAAACAAGAAAAGTTGCTTTTTGGAAAAAGTAAATGATGGCATGAGTTTCACAGGTAACAAAAATCAAGTTATCTGTATAAATTTAATTTGCTCTAAAATTATAGGCATGTATAAATTCATACACATTAAATATAGTATCTCTAATTGCAATGCACTTTTAGGAGTCAAGAGCCTTAATTAGACAATAATATAAGGAATGGAGTCTCTGTGGGCCATGCACAAAGTAAATAATCCACAGATGAACTTTAAAAGGCTAGGTTTATATACATAAATAAATATGCATACATAAGAAGAGAAGAAGGAAAGTAGAAATCTCATCTTAAAATGCAAACATTTTATAAATTAAAAATATATCTTCAGGATTAAGGAAAATTTCTAGCTAAAGTGGCAAGAAGACTTCAGAGAATCATCTGTTCATAAAGCAAGTATAAACTGGACAAAATTGGCATAAACAACCATGCCAAAGGTCTGGAAAATGACCAAAGGCAGACAATGAATCAAAAAGCACTTATTCTTGAAAAATTGCTAGAGCTTTAGGTAAAAAGCAGCTGGAGTCTGTGACTTTCTTGCCTGGGGATATTCCCATTCCTGTTCTTGTCCCTTGCTCATCTGGTGACTAAAACAGGGCTGGACAGAAAATCTGGAGCTTTGTGACCAGAGAGAGGAAACTGTTTTGGGAATGGAAAAAAACTCATGACTTGGGCAAATACCATAAAGAATAAATGAGAAAAACCCACAGCTCTCCTAGCTTGAGGTTGTGCTCCTATTTGGGGCAAGTAGTGAATAGACAAAAATTATATGGGGAGATCCTGGAAAAGAAAGCATAATTTACAGGGTAGATAAGCTCTCTACACACCCATGGTTGACTGGTACCCAGTGGTCATACAAAAGGGAAAACCTGAGAGAGCCTAGTGAGAAGTTAAAACCGAGGATGACTTGAGAACCAGCTGAGTTTTGAACATGCTCCCCAAGCCACATGCAT